CAATCCCAGTTACAGTTTAACTAAGCACTGATTCCCCAAAAGAAAATAAGGAACAGAAATGAGTGCCAGGTCACTATGGGGAGAATTTAAGTCACATAAAGCTCCTTTCAGAACACAGAAAACTAATACAATGTGGAATATGTTCAAGTCCCACGTAAGAGAGGACAAATTTTATGGTAACTCTTGATGTGAAGCTGCACAGATTTTTTTTTCCAAGTCTAAAAAATACAACGTCCTGCTGACATTGCACATCTTTACAGACTTCATCAGCCCAAGGGATCTGGAAGTTTGGCTAAGTTCTCAACTGTGGCAAAATGAACTGTTCATCATACCTGAGTCTTCCATTAGAGAGGGGTCTACCTTTGGCGACAGGAAAGCTATGAAGAGGTTTAGGTGGTAGATTCCCAAGGCATATGTCACAATGTACCAACCCTGCACAGGGAGGGAGGAACAGCCACGGTTAAAGTCTTCCTGAAAGACATTTGCTGATACTTCTTTTTTAACAAGATTAAACAACCTGGGTTCTTTGCTTCCTTGAGAAGGTTTTCTACCTCCTCACCTTAACTGAAAGGTTTCTGGACTAGAATATTAACAACACAAAAATAAAAATATTAACAATTCTGACAATATTAACAATATTAAATAAAAGCATTAACAATTCTCACCTATCAAAACAAGTCTTAGAACACAAGAGGAGTGCAAATCCCTCATGTACACAAGAGCTGCTCTCTCTTCAGGTTATCCAATTTACCTTCTACCATGAGCTAAACGACCCCACACGTGGTTCTGAAGTAACACCACACTTCGAAAATGCTCTTAACAGGAAACACAGGCCAGGAGTGATAAGTCAAAATCCCTTGGCAGTAAGTGCAGTGCTCACCTGCAGTAAATAAACTCTAATCATGTAGATAAAGCTCAGCCCCAGCGTTACAATCCATCGCACGGCGGTGTAGGGGGTGGATTTGTCTAACCAGGACTGGTAGATCTGGGAGGAAACAAAGGGACACGTGAAATACAGGAGGCACAGTGAGCACAGTTCATTACAGGGCAGCATTGGCACAGAGAAGCCTTTGGGAAGACTATTTTGGGAAGGGCAGTAACGTGAAATATCTGTATTCTTCATGAATAAACTGAATCACACGTAACTGTACTTTGAAAAGTTCCGTGTTTTTATGAAACCCCTAATGCTTGGGGCATTGTACAGCAATTTAACATTTCTGTATCTCATGCAAGTTACTTTCCTTAAGATGAATTTGACCTGAAATCTGAAGTCACTCCTTGTTTTTGACAACATATATTTTCACTGTGCAATGTCATACATACACCCCTTAAATATTCCAGTAAGCTACGTGTAATAATATTTATCAGTTTTTAAAGGCTTCAGAAGAAATCTGAAGATTTTAGCATTTTAACAACTCATCCAAAAAGTAATGAGCTTAAGGAGCCACAGTGAGATCTACTCCTAAAGCAGTCAGAAAAATCCTTCCCCAAACCAACCTGTCCAAGTCTTGAGAAAAACCTATAGACCACGGAGGGTTTTCCATGCACAGACTCCCCAATGCTGTCCCCTTCTGACATGGTGGCTGTGGAAACAAAACATGGGACACAGGGAACACTGAGACCCAAAATCTGAGCTCAGAAAGCTTTAAAGCACATTCTCTGAACCAGCATTTACACACAATGTTCTTTTGGCTTGCACTGTTCGAAGTATTCTCAAAGAGAATTTTTATGCAAAAATGAATTAAATTTTTCCTAAAGTAATTGTCCAAGACAGCAAAGAACAGGGTGTTTTACAAAGGCAAGAGAGGATGCAGTCCATTCTGGGAGGGAAATAAAGAAACCCATAGAGAAATGCAGGAAGGAGCCTGGTTGGACATCCCCTTGCTAAGGCAGAGGCTGAGTTACAACACCTAAATGGTGAGACACGACCTGCAGCACCTCCCTCCTGCCCCCTCAGTCTCTAAAGGCAAAGAACAAAACCAAAATAAATATACATATATTTTTTTTAAAGCTGCTTTGGATTTTAAGTGCTCAGTAAGCAGACAGTGAACAAGGAAGTTCAGGACTGCACATCAGTGCTTCCAGACTCTGCCAAAGCACCAGACCCAGAACCTTGCTCACACCAGAAAGAAGGCAACGACTTTCTCTGTCTCTTGAGCATGAAGAGCTGAGCAGCAGCAGGAAAGTTTTCTGCAGGAGCAAAACTCTGCAGTCAAAGGGCCCGAACTCCAGTAAAAACATGAACCAAGGGGGTTATTTTTCAGTCCATGCTTCTGCTACCGATTTAAGAGCTTTATTTTCCTTATCAGTTAGGCTTAACTGGGTTGTACAGCTCCCTTGGAGGTACAGGCCAAATAAACTCGATTCCAAACAGAAACGTTTTGCCACATCACCGAAAGCAATCCCTGACATTACTTCCTGGAATCCTCACTTGTGGGTGGGACTATGTAACCCCGGGATACTGGGAGCACTTTCAGCCCTGCTCAAGAGCCTCAGAGGATAATAAAGCTGTGTGGAACATAAATAAATAAAAAAACCAGTACATCATCTTAGATGCTGCAATACAAGTGACTGCTGCAGAAAATTTGAGACCAAGGACAATCTGGGGAGGCACAAAAACTTAAAGTTGTGTATTTTTCCTGTAAACATCCGAAAACTACATCCTACAGAATCATTAGGAAGTAGAAAAAAAGGAGTCCTGCTACACTTCAAAAGCTAAGGGGTTTCATCAGGAGGCTCCAGGAGCTGACTCCACTTTAATTCAAGCTAGAGCTGAAAAGAAAAAAAAGAATCAAACAGAAACTCATACAATATACAGATTTTTCCACTACAGGCAAAAGGAAGTGATTATTCTCCCCCCTCTCTGCAGGGCAGAAGTTACTCAGCCTTCCCAGCTGAGCATCATTTTGGGCTTTATTCTGGTTTTCTCTTTTTTTAGAAGTCCTGAAGTATCAAGGACTGTAACCAAAAGATATTCAGCCTATTGACCAGAGACCAAAGAAAACTCTCACATTCTCAAAATTAATTGTCCAGATACATCCAAATATAACAAATAAGGGCTACAGGCAGACCTAAGGTGACAGTGTTGTAAATGCCACCCTGTGCAGAGCAAGTGGAAGATCAAGATGTGAGGCTCCTGAAGGCTTTCTGCTGCAGCAGGGACTTTGCTGGGTGAAAAAAAAATACGTTATATGTGATTATGTATGACTGTTTCTCAAATACACAGTTCTTCCAGAGCAGCCCAAGAAACACAACCAGCTGACACTGTTCTACTGCAGAGGGGTTCTTTACAGTTAAGAACACTGGGGTTTTATTGGTTTAAGGGAATAATTAATATAACCAGTTGCAATCCCTCTTTTGTAATCATGGAATGGTTTGGGTGGGAAGGGACCTTAAAGACCATCTCATGCCATTCCACCCCCTGCCATGGGCAGGGACACCTCCCAGTAGCCCAGGTGGCTCCAAGCCCCATCCAGCCTGGCCTTGGACACTTCCAAGGATGGGGCAGCCACAGCTCCTCTGGACAACCTGTGCCAGGGCCTCCCCACCCTCCCAGGGAAGGATTCCTTCCCAATATCCCATCTCTCCCTGCCCTCTGGCAGTTTGAAGCCGTTCCCCCTGTCCTGTCCCTCCAGGCCCTTGTCCAAAGCCTCTCTCCATCTTTCTTACAGATGTAACATAAATTCACTGTTCAGCACAGCCAACAATCAGAAAGTCACACTCACATTAATACAACAAACGAACTGAGGCTGCTGCTAAAACTAAACCATGTTAAAGCAGTTTCTTCTGCTGAAAACACCAGGCAGGTGAAAGCAGGACCTTAATAGATGACCTTTTCACCACAATTGTTATGGTAATGTCGCTACAAACATGATCGCTGAGTGCTCAAAACCAGAACCTGGGGCAGTAAAAACATTCACTTTCTGCGGTGACACACAGACGTCCCGAATTTCCAGAGAGCTCTGATTATGAGACGGGTTTTTCTTGAAGTTAAAATACAAACGGAGGACACCGGCAGCAAACCCACACTCCTGCTCGCACAGCCTTCCTTATCTCGTAGAGGAAACACCTTCGAAGAGCAACACACTCGAGTGATTTACTGTAACAGGGTGAATGGACAACCACGGGGCACGACCACGCCGGTGGCACAGGTTGGGTTTTTCACGCTAAAAAAAGACACTGTTTCATTTTATCCGTTCCGGCAGCAGCCGAGCAGCACCTGCGGCTCTCGGGGACTTCCCCGGCCTGGGCTGGGCTCAGCCCGGTCCAACGAGCGGGGAGCGGCTGGAGCGGGGCCGGCACAGCGGGGACACGGCCCGGGAGGCCCCGGGAGGCCCCGAGCCCGCGCAGCCCCCGCACCCCGGAGGGGCCGCTCGCCCCGGGCTCCGCCCCCCCGCCCAGGGGTGTCCCGGCCCGCAGTGCCCGCCCGCGGCCCCGCTCAGCCCCGGGCGGCCTCAGTACTCACAGACGGCCGAGCCGGTCCTTCCTCCGCTCCCGCCCCTCCACACACCCGATATGGCGGCACCGTCGGGACGCGCTTCCGCTTCCGGGGCTGGGGCGGGACGAGCCCGAGTGCGGCCCCGCGGTTGGCCCCGGGGGCAGCGAGGCGGTCCCGGCGGGGAGGCGGGAGGGCGGTGCGGGCCGTGAGGGCGGGCGGGAGCGGGCGGGGGACAGGCGGGGCGGCACCGGCGGGGACCGAGCGCCGACCGGGTCCGCCCCGCTGCCCTGAGGGGGCGCCCGGCCCCGCCCCCCGCGCCGGCGCAGCCAATGGGGAGCGGCCGCTGAGGGCGGGCGCGGGCACGCGGCCAATGGCGGGACGGCGGCGGGCGGGGGGGCGGGGCTGAGGGCGGGGTGGGGCCGGGCCGAGCCCGAACGGAGCCGATCCCGAACCGAGCCCAGCCGAATTTAGCCGAACTGAGCCGAATGGGGCCGAGCTGAACCGAGCCCAGCCGAGCTCAGCCGAACGGAGCCCGACCCGAGCGGAACCCGAACGGAGCCGAACAGAGCCGAGCCCGACCCGAGCGGGGCCGAGCAGAGCCGCCTCACGAAATGAGGCGAAAAGGTGTTTAAGGGATTTTAAAGTTTTAAGGATTTCAGTGTGTTATTCCATGAACACGTGAACGCTTAGGAATGAAAATCGGTAGGAGAAGATGAGAAATAGTTGTTAGAGACAGAGGTGACACAAAAAGTCCCCACACGCGCTGTGGTGGGTTTGTCCCGTTGCCACAGAAACACTGACAAACAAACGGGGGGGCCCCTCGAATTTATTACAGTTTATCCTCATTTATTTCCCTCTCACTGCTCACGGGCTGGTCTGTGCAGTTCTGTACCTCCGCTGGGCACCACTGGGCGTCTCCCCAGCACCTCTTTTGGGGCGGAATCCGTAAATTCTTCAGGCTCAGTGGCTGCTCTGGCACTGCAGCACTTGGGACTAAAGTTTACACTCAATATGTGCTCAAAAGTGACAACAAAAAGTCCTGACAGTCCTGAATGTTGATCTAACATTTATGTTATGCAAATATAGGTATATATTTATTTATTTATTTAGTACATATATTAATTTTACACTTATATATAACTATATAAATATGTAGATATATCAATATATAGATAAATAAATTATATACTACTATATATGCTAATAAAAATATACAATGTATATATATCCATAGGTATATATAATAAATGCATATTTATCTATTTACAAATATTATATATTTACACATATATGTATATATATATATATATTATTATACATGACTGAAAAGACACCCCCTCGATGCAAGTGATCCCTCAGCACATACTGCTTTCAAATTATATGGCATAACATGAAACAATAAAAACATATAAATATTTTTTTATTTCCAGGCAAAATAACAGGTTAAAGTTCCCTTTTAACCTCGTTAGATTTATTTATTTATTTATTTATTTATTTATTTACTTACTTACTTACTTATTATTTAACCTGTTCCCATAGATTTATGGAAGAGCTGACCAGCTTTCTGGGGAGGATCTAAGACAAACCTGTGAGCTGCACCTTGCAGGTGAGTGATTCAGCCATGGGATTCTGCAATTTTAACCTCTCCCCTGCTTTGATGAGCTGTCGTCAATGAAAACCTGATGGAAACGATGTGACCAGTCAATCTGTGGGTTTGTTTGCACAGGATTTGATAAGCACCAGTTCACACCAGCCCATTCCCACCCGTTGGGGTAATGGATCAGTGCACACTGCAGTCCACCAAAAATCAGGGCACGCTTCCAGCAAAACATGAGCCCACATAGTGTGGAATAAACTGGAAATATGTGAGAGCTAATTAGAGTCAGGGAATCCTGGAATGGTGTGGATTGGAAGGGACCTTAAAGCTCGTCATTAGAGGAATTATGTCTGGGCAGCGCAGGGGACGCAAACCTGGTCATAGCAGAAATGGTAAACCTTGGTTTGCAGCCCAGAAAAGGGCAAATTTTTAAGTGAAGGATCTGAGAATTCTGTCAGCTTCGTCCACGTAAGGCTTTGCACGTGAGATTTTGAAATCTGTTTCGCTGGTCAGAATGTCATGTTATTGCTGGTCAGTCAGTGTACCCAGACTTCTTACAAATAGCTCTATGCTTGAAAACTGCGTAAAACTGTAGGAATTTCGGAAAAATCTGGGTTGGTTGTCTTGTTTTGGGGTTTTTTTTTACCTTTACTGAAACAGTACCTTGGCCATCCTGAAGTAATCTGCTGGAACAAAGAGAACGCGGGCAAATCTTTCGAGCCCCAGGGTATCCCAGCATTACTGCTGTGGGGTACAGAGCAGACTGAACCATGGCATTAATGCTGAATTCGTCCTCAGTTTTAGCTGCAGCAGTGTCAGGGCTGGATTTTTAGATCAGTCTGGCAAGTGGCAATTTTTAGTGAGTGGATGCTGTCAGTTAATAGCACGTTGTAGTCTGGGAGCCTTCAGAGGTTCAGGTCGATGAAATGTCCAGTAAACAAGCAATAATTACAGCTGTCAACAGAGGAGTCCCAATAATAACAAACAGCTCTGATTTATCTCCTGCTTAACCATAAAGCTGATTTCATATTGGGCAAAAATGTTATGAAGAGGTGCAAGATACACACTGCAGCAGAATAGTAGGGGACATGAAACAACACAAAGTACCTGAAAGCTGCTTTTAAAAATAAATAAATGAACAAACCCTAGTGACCTGTGGTGGCCTGTCTGGTTTTCCTGCATTTGTATGTGCACACATTTGGGAATGAAAGGGAACAATGACACGTGAATGAAGTTTGCAGAGGCTAATGAAGCAAAACACTAATTTCTGCCATGAAAGGGTTTCCTCTCTGTGATGTCTCCTCACCTCCCAGGAAGCAGATGCCGTGTTCCCCCCTGTCCCTGGCTGTGTTCTGGCTGTGTTTGCTGCTCCCCCTCCCCAGAGGGAGCCCTGCTGTGGGATGCACCTGTTAACAGGTTCAGTTCTGGTGCAAATCATTTAAACTTCTGGAATTTCGGTTACTCTGAATTGTGCTGGATGCGAGTGGAAAATATGAAATCTGAAGATCCAATAAGTCTTGATCATGATTATACTTGCAATACAATGATGTATATTTTTATGTTATAAAAATATAAATAATGCTGTTGCTGATATAAGGGCCTTGAATGAGTCTCCCCACTAGTAAGTGTTGAGCTCTATTTTAATTGCTTGTGGAGGGCACCATTAAATTCTGTTTAGTAAGAGACTACCCTGAGTACAGCTGCATGTGAATTTCTGTAGTTAATTTACTACTGTTTGGTTGTTTTCTTAGAAGTAGTTGTTTCAGATGAATAAATCTGTAACATCTCAGGTTTTTCAAACACAAAGTGATTCATGCCAACCTGTTTTCATAGGCTGCTGCAGAAATGAATTAATATGATAATGTGACTCTGTGAAATTACTACTGTTCACGTACTAAATGTTCTTATTTATTACCCATAACATTTAATTGTAGTTTAAATAAATTCCATATAAACACATTTACTGCGGAGTTTAGAAACAATCCACAATTACACTGTGCAGTTACAGGAACAAATTCCCTATCACTGATTCCTAGGAGAGGAGGATTTCTGGGGTTGATACTGAGCTGCTGATAAACAGCTTTGCCTTCATCAGTTCCTGTTTGTCATGAACTCTTCATAGAATCCTAAATGGTTTGGGTGGGAAGGGACCTTAAAGCTCATCCAGTCCCAGTCCCTGCCGTGGGCAGGGACACCTTCCATTGTCCCAGGTTTCTCCAAGCCCCTTCCAACCTGGCTTTGGACACTCCCAGGGATGGGACATCCCTTTCTGTTTTGTCTCTCTCAGTAACTTGCAGTGGCTCTGTGTCTGTGGCATCCTGTGTCTGGGAATCACAGAAAACACAGGACCTTGCTAAAACACGAGGATTTTGGTGTGTTTAAGGCAGAATTTCCGGTTCTCGTTGAAAATCAAAACCCAAGACAAACAAAACTCCCCTCAGCATAACTCAGCCCATCACTGGGAGCCTGGGGGCTTTCCCCTTTGCCCTGTTCCTGCTCCCTCTGGGCACCGGTGGCTCTTTTCCTGGAGGCCCCGGTGTCGCTGCGGGTGTTCACGCCTTTGTCTCTCTGCAGAAATGTGTGATGGGGAGATAGTGCTTGTGTGGACGTCAGCATTTCCAACCCTTGCATGTGTTGCATTGCTAAGCAACTTTTAGCAACACTTCTCCCGCGTCCTTATGCCATCTGGAAAAGAGGATTAGACAAGGAAACGTGCCAGGGAGAGACAAAGGCACATGTAAGAAAGAGGTGGCTTAATTACTTGGGAGGATGAGTGACATTAATAGCAGGCAATCAGCAGAAGTGATTGAAAGCAGGCACAGTGCTTCCCAGGTAGTGAGAAGGAACCTCTGGGAAAGGTGGCATCTTTCATACCCCCTGGCCTTTCCCCTCCCTGCAGGGAGCTGAACCCCAGTGCTGATGCCCAGTGAAGGCCCCTGTGATTTCATGGATAGTTTAGACGGAGCTCAAGTGACAGTGAGTCTCTTCTAGACCCTCTTCCAGTTGTTTTGTACACCCTGGATAACTGGCTGCCTGCTGCTTGAAGGTCCCTTCCACTGAGGCAGAGGAGGTTGTGGAATACCAGTGGAGTGTGGAGCTTGTGCACATTAGTTCCCAACAGCCCTGCTCCCCTGGGATAACTGCTGGGGATGGTTTGAGGGGATGGAAGGGATAGACCAGAGCACGTGGTGTCAGAAGGGTATTCCGTCTTTGGTGTCATCTTCCAGCACACCTGTAAGTGCTAAAGGTGCAAACAGAACTTTGACTAAATCCATCTGGAGCTTCAGCTGGGTTCACACACATTAGAGAATTATAGGAGCACTTTTTTGGTGCCTCTGCTGTTACCACACAAAAAGCCAAATATCCAACTTAGTAGAAGAATGACCACTTCAGATTTGAAATATTCCCCTTCTCTGGTTCCTTATGCACTCTACCATTGGAAGAATGTTGCCTGACAGCTGAGCAGGATTTAGCACCACATAAAACCAGCGAGGTTTGTTACTGAGTTGTTTTACTTCCCGTACCTGGACTTTTGACTGCACTTTGCCCACTGTCTGATTATTTCTGTGCCAGTTGTGACTCTGAACTCTCCCAGTGATATGGAACAACCCACACTAAGGTTCAGTGCCAGCTCTGTGCTGCAGGGTGGTTTTTACACATACTTTGGAACAGAGCTGTGGACCACAATGTGCAATCCTACACTTGCTCCTCCCCGCTGGAATGAAACCTGTGCTCCTGCCGTGCCCTCTGCTGCCTGACCCTGCTGCAGTCCATGGCAGTGGAATGGGGGCTGTCAACTAATCACCTGAAGGTCGTGTTGGGTGGCAAAGGGGACCCTGGAGACACTGCACCTTCCTCGTGACATCACACTGGGTTGCAGTTACGTGGGCAAGGTTAATGTTGCTGGAGACTTTAATTGGCTCATTCCTAAGATTCCCTGGTATTTGGCTCTGCTGCCTTAGGAGTCTTTAAACTTTTCTGCAAAGGGAATACCTTGGGTGAAATGCAGACTGGATTTAAATAACCAAGGCTTTTTTGAATTGAATTTGGTACACTATTTCACTCTTCACAACCTTTAAAAGCAAAATAATGTGTGATTCTGTATGTGACAAAGCAGTTATTCATTCTTGCCATGTAATTTAATGCGATGTTCTATATGAACTGAAGGGCTTCACATAATAGTATCCCACAGTAACAAACCTTGGGCAAGAAATGTTTGATTCTCCTCCCTTTCCCCTTTCGAGGAGTGCCACATAATCCTTGGTTGTTGTGTGGTCTCCTATTCAACTTTTCACAAAAATGTTGGAAGGGTATTTATAAAAAGCCTTGAGGACCACCCACTATGCTATTGAAATTTGGCTGAAATAATCCCTTCTTTATAATTTAGCTGTGGTGTTGTCGAAATTTCAGTTCCATGTGGGTTTCTGTTTAAAGGGGCAGTGGGGAAATGACGTCCTGGATGGACAGGGAGCGGTGGCCAATTGTTGTGGTGACACCTGTGATGGGCTGGGGCTCAAAGGCTGGCTCAGACCTTCATTGTGCCCTCCAGTTATTAACAGGACTTGGACATAATGCCTTGGTTGTCCCTCTTGTGATGAATATGATCTGACTGTAGTGTTCAGCATCCTCTGAGTTCTCAGCTCTCCCAGAACAGCTCCCTCTCTGGAGCAGGAGGGACAGAGACCTTTCCTGGAGTCAGGGAGCTGCTCGTTCAAAGGAAATGCAGAGCTGCAGTGAGGTGTCCAGTCTTCTTGTAATGGATTTTTATTCCTGTGATGAGAGAGTGGAGTTTTTTGGGTTTAATAATGTGGATTTTTAATTTTAAACTGAAAGCATTTTGGAATTAAGAAGTTGGAAGGACAGGAAAAGAACAGGCTGTGTGTGTGCACGGCCTGTGTGTGTATGAGAGAGTCATCCCAGCCAGTGTAAATTCTGTCACTGCACACAGTAAAGAATTGCTCAGCAGGTTCTAGTTTGGTAAGCACAGAGCAGGAATGAATCCCATCCCA